CCGGGGTCGTGAGGGGAAAGCGAGGTGGAGGTGCTGGCTCGGGTAGTGTGTGTGTGGGGGGAGGGAGAGCGCCGTACCGCGGCCATTCCCACACATCTGCCCTAGGAAGGGCAGCCCTGGAGCCGGGCGGCGGGTGCACCATGCCAGCATCCCGCGCGCACCCCCCTTTGCGGGGGCACAGGCGCTTCCCTGACAGGCTCTCGTAGCTGTTTCCTGGCTGTTTGCTGCAGCCTTGGGAGAAGAGGGAGAAAGGGGCTCGCCGAGGAGTTCACATTTACAGCTCCTTGTCTAGCCGCTTGCACTTGCTGCAGTTTGATTGGGTCCTTAGCTCCCCGACCTGATGACATGTGTTAACGTTGTGTGTGCTGAGGAGGATCTCGGGAAGGTGCCACAACCCTCGAGCTTGTTGACACAGAGCTGGGTTTAAAAAACTGGATGTACTAGCATGGTTTGATGTGCTTGCAGCTCAAACAAGTTTCTTCCTGTCAAGCCTTTCAAGTAAAATGGAACTCTCTCCAGCTAAGGACCCAGTCAATCTTCGGAAAGTCTTTAATATATTCTTGCATAAACTGAACGTTTTTCTTTAACACAAATGCAGAAAAATTTAACTCTGGCTAAGTGTTTAAAATGGGTGTCATATGCATTAGTTTATTTAAAATATGTTTTTCTGTTTTAATACCCAGATGAAAAGGAGGATGAGCAATAATCATACTCCTTTAAGATTCTATGTTCTCTGCCTTTTGTTTTACAGTGTTTCTGAAGTATTATGAATATTGCATGGTTATGGCTGTGGTCCTGCCATTGGATCCTAAAATTTGTAACTTGAGAAAACAGGTTGATTTCCTCACCTTAGCTAATTAAATAGATTTGCTTGCTTCTGTACTAATAGATGGGTTCTAAACTGTGTAACTATTTGGATATTGATAATTAAAATGCAAATCTATTAAAATAAGTCAGGGTACTGGATTTGTATAGAATATAGAAATTCCATGAAGTTGCTAAAGCCCACCTGCAGTGGGACTTTGGCTTCCTTCCCTGAGCTTCAGTAAGTATAACTCTGGCCATGCTTAGAGGACCCTCTGTAACCTGTGCACAGCCCCCCAGGTGGCCCCAGACTCCTTGTTAGGTACCATTACCATGGTCTATTTGAGGAACGGTCACTAGTTTATGAACTCTTAAAAGAATAATTAGAACTCTTAACTGCATCATAAATTATGGGATTAAGTATTAATCCTGAGTAAAACAAATACTCAGAGGCTGTTCTAGTTTTTCATTGTTCACATTCTTGTAGATTGGGGTAGGCAAAATACAGATGGAGCCTGGGGCTGAGCAGCAGCCTCAGACAGGCTCCCTGCCTGCCTGTGCCATGTTCGTGGAGCAGATAGTGCGTGAAGTACCCTCTTCTTCTCCGATTTGCGGCACTCTGAGACGCAGATGGCCTCCGTGGCCAATTCCTTTGAGCAGTGGGTAGGGCAGGGAAGGCAGGTAGCCTGTCTGAAAGTCTCGTTGGGATGCCACGTAGGTAAGCAGCTCTCGGCCAGAGCCTACCTCTAGCCCTGTCCCCTCGTTCTCCCTGCCTCATGTAACCCAAACTCTCTGCATCTAAACCCATACCTCCTCCAAAACTCTGCACCCAAATCCCCTGTCCCAGGTCACAGCCCAAATCCCTGCACCCCTGCTCCAGATGTCAACCACTTCCAGATCCTGCACACCTCCTGCTCTCCTCCAGGTCAGAATCCTCTCCTGCACCCATACCCCCTCCAGGACTCTGCACCACAAACCCCTGCCCCAGGTCACAACCTCTCCATTATCCAAACTCCCTTCCAAACCTTACACTTCTTCCTGTCCCTACATTGAGCTCTGTTCTGCACCCAACTTTCATCCCAGCCCTGCACTTTCTCCATTGATGTCATAGAAGAGTGGAGCCCTTGACTACTTATCAAATTCTTGGAGTGCCCTCCCGCATCAAAAATTGCTGCCCTGGTTTATGTGTATAGTGGTTGAGTGATGGTAGTCAGAATTTCCCTGTCAAAACTAATATGCAAGCATATTGTTTATAAATAACCCTGCATATTTGTATTCTTTGAAATTTGGTCATGGTTCTACACACCCTTTCTTAGGAGAATAGACACATTGCTATGCATGATGATCCTTCTAAAGTGCAGATGCTTTAGCTATCATTTCTGGCCTTTCATCTGTGTCTGACCTGGCAAATGTATTACCAATAAAATGGATACCACTTTACTTCTTACTATTGGCAGTACGAGTATACGGACTGTTAGCTTTGGTGGCTAAGAAAGGAATGTGGAACTCATCAAGGGAAACCTCTCTCCTGCTCTTTTAGTAAGCATTTGAATGTCTAGCAGGAAGTGTGCTGAAAGCATTAATGAAATATAATACAGTACAGATTGGGCTTCCCTGGTCTGGCATATTCAGGGCTAGTCAGGGAGTTGGCTGGACCAGGGGAGGTCAAATATGCCCCTCTGCTGATGGAGTCCAGGTTCTCTGGTGGTCTGTCAGCAAAGGGCTCCCCTACCCCCTCACTGCAGGGCTCGTGGCTTGGCCTGCGGGGTGCCAGACCTCTGGTAGCCCAGGGCTGGCGGGGTTCTTAGGGCTCTCTGGTCAGACCAAGAGAGTTCCAGACGAGAGAGGTTCAACTTGAGTTAAGGATGACAAATATAGGCCATTCAGGGAAAATAAGTTTCTGTTAGTACTTTAGAAGAGGCAGATATGTCATCTTTGTATTAAATTATATAGCATAGTATATTTTCTGGCCCAGAAATGAAGAGCAAAGGATCTTATCAGGGACTTTTTTTCCCCTTTACAGTGAGATGATGTACTCAGCATGATTCCAAAAATATATCTGTGTAATTTCTAAAGACAACCATTAGATTTTTGCACTTCTTTCCAAAACGTACACTCTGGGGTTTCCTTTGGGGCCTGAATGCATTCAGTATACAGGCAGTCCCCGGGTTACGTACAAGATAGGGACTGTAGGTTTGTTCTTAAGTTGAATTTGTATGTAAGTCGGAACTGGTACATATTGTAGGGGAAACTCTAGCCAAACATTTCTCCAGAGCTCAGTTTTATTCTCCCACACCTCACTTCCCTCAGTCCTTTATTCTCAAGCTGAGGTGTCTGCTGAGAAAAGCCGCTCCACCTCTCCCTGGTCTGCTGGGCGGGGGGAGGGGGACGCGCTAGCTTCGCATCTCCCTAGTCTGCTGGGGGGAAGTAGCTAGTGCGGGGGTGCTAATTTATAAACAGGTGCTATTTTTGTTAAAATATAAAATCCCGTAGGGCAGTGTATTTTACAAAATCTCAGAAGAATTGAAGGGGAAAAAAAGTACATTTCTATGGCAACCTCTGGGCACACCAGAATATCTAACATCTTCTGAAGTATCTGAACA